CCCCTTGGTCATTAGAGTGAGTCTCATGAAAATATAAGAACCAGATGGGCAGCCTGGGAACAGTGCAACATTTCTCAGGGTTAAGCAAGTAGCCACCCAACGACTTCTTAGCTAGGGTGCATTCTGTCCCTTTTAAGGAGCATTTAAAAGTGTCTTTTGAAGATAGGTCATAACTCCTTCCTTGAGAGGGTGTGACAGGTGTGCTAAGCTGTAGGTGCTGCCACCCTTGTCCTGCCTCCAGCTAATGTTTCTCTGTCTGCTTTACAAATTGACAACCAACCTGATAAAAAATATTCCATCCCAAACCACGCTACTGATTTCACTCCCATGGCAATTATTTTCTAAAGCATGCATTCAGCAGTCAGCCAAGGTTACATGTATCATTGTAACACATTCACCACGGGTTCCCATGCTCTTTTCTCACCTGCACAGTAGGCTCCTTAAGGACAAGGCAGAGAAAGCCTGCTCCTTTGTATAGTTCCAGCAACTAGAATCTTCGAATCTGAATGTGAAAAAGCATCTAGTTCCAAGAAAATCAAATACATGTCAGTGACATTATCACTTCCCTATCTTGGACCTATGAGCAATGGATCAGCGCAGCACTTCCTAAAACCTACAGTCAGTCTTATAACACTTTCCACCCTGGCTCTCCAGGTTATCTCTACCAATCCATCAGTGTGGTCACGTGAAAAATCTCACGGGCCATTTCTAATTCAAGCCCAATAGAGGAGGAAACAAATCCAAACAGGAACCAGAAAACTAACTTGTCCAGGGATGTGAAAAAACTGAGACCAAATGGCCCCAAACCCATGATCCTTGACCTCCAGTCTCAGGCAGCACATCCCTCTGTTGTCTCACTCAGATTGTCTGAGAAGCGTTTACTAATGACAGTGTATGACTCTGGCATCATCTGTTCTCCATATTTGGGGATCTAAGAGAAAGGAAGAAAGGAAGAAACCAATGAAATGTCAACAAGAAAGGCCAAGAGCAATGATCAAGTAATAAGAACACAGAACTTTTCTTTTCAAAATACACAAGAAAGGCCAGGTATGGTGGCTTATGCCGGGAATACCAGCACTTTGGGAGGCCAAAGCGGGAGGACTGCTGGAGCCCAGGAATTTGAGACCAGCCTGTGCAACATAGCAAGGTCTCATTTCTAAAAAGAAAAGAAAAAAATGCACAAGAAAGCCACATGAGATAAGCCCCATGTTCTTTTGAGCCCATCTGACACCCTTGATTAGCACATGGAGTTGCAATTTTCTCTCCACAATGTTCCATTAAAGCATGAGGCTTCACCCTGAGTATTCCCATTGCCCTATGCTCTAGTGCTGTCACTCAGGAATGTATCAAAACCGATCTTACATCCATTATTATTTCTCATTCTTATCAACTCTGAGAGTGAGAAGAACTGCAAATTTACATCATGGGTGAAGTCCTTACAGCTTTTGTTCTAAAATTACCCATTTTCACACCTAATTGGTAGGAATGGTTTCACGCCATTTACATTTTTCTGGATGGTTTGTTTCTGGATTGATTCTGGGATTGAATAAAGGAGCCCACCAACATCCAGAGCATTGGGAGTTAGAGGCACTCAGATGTGAAAGTCACCTAGCAGAGACATGAATATATTTTATGAAAAGAGTGTTCACCTGAAAAGAAATAAAAGTAGAAAGCAAGATACAAAGACATGAAAGTGAATGCAAATTATAAAAAAAGTACCACTAAATTAGATATAGCATCATCTGTCTTCTATATCTGAGGTTCTAACGAAAAGGAATCATCATTGCCCTTGCAGGTGCAATAATGGAATTGCGGTGCTGTTTTAAAAGCCTTTATGCACTGAAGTGTTACGAGTGAAGTGGGCTTTGCTTTAAAATACCCAGCAAAGGGAAACATTAGAAAGATGAGGGAATAGATCAAAGAAAAATGACAGAATGATGCTAATTGTCAAAGCTGGGTGTTGGATATACAGGAACTGATTTTACTATCTCTTCTTCTGTGGATGAAGATTTCTTTAATACAATGTTACAATGTTAACAGAGTTTTACTTATTAAATTAGCTATGAGTACACACACACGCACACACACACACACACACACACACACACACACACACACACTTGCTTCAATGACCAGCAGTGAGTAGAAGTTGGTCCCCAGTTTGAGCTGCACCCACCACAGGATCTCAGCCCTGTGTGGTGAAGACAGTGGGTGGGATGGGGTGGGAAGGCCTATAAGGACCTGAGTAGTCCTCTAGGAGACAGGACAGTCACCCTAAAGGACAGAGAGTTAAGCATAAGCCTGATTTAGTCATAAAGCCCCAGCCTTTGGAGGCGTGACTATAACACGGTCATCACCACTTGGACTTTTCTCCTGGCCCAGCCTGCTCTACATTCATGTCTGGGTCTCACAGGGCAGGGCAGAGAGTAAGTAAAACTGGAAAGAACAATTTCATTAAACTTCTAAGGCCCTGGGGTGCAAGTTCTATAGCTCAGTGACCCATCACACAGACAGCAACAGAGAGGGCAGACGGGTAGCTACCTCCATCCTCTGCAGACTGCCAGCCAACCCGGGGGACTTGAAGCTCTCTGGTCTTTAGAAGGTGTGGCACTGCCTCTGCTCTCACAGACCACCTCAGCCCCCAGAGTGGCACCGAGATGGTTACAGAGTAATATGCAACACAGCAGGGGTTCAAATGCTATTTTCTGACCACACTCCACAATCAGGGGAAGTACACCTCAGAGACATTCTCATAGAAAGAAGCTCAGGAAGGAAAGAGGGAACAGAGTTGTTCACGACTGCAAAAAGAATAGTCCCCTTCTGGACAAATGTATCAGGTCTGCCTACACCTGCTCAGCAGGGCCTGGGGAACCCCAAAAGGCCTAGGCAGGAGCTATGCCAGGCTCCTGGGGAACAGGCTCAAGGGCAACATCTCTAGGCTTTTCTCGTCTGTCAGAATGGACGGAGACTTGGAGGAGGGGTCAAATGACCAAGAGTACCCGCTTCTCCATGGATGGCAGTGGCAGCACTTGTCATCATCGCATCCTGTCACCTGACTCAGTGGAGAACCTGGCTCTTGGCCTATCTGGTCTTCGAGTGTGAAGGAGGAGCAGGAGGAAGGCTCCACCAGAGAGCCGGGAAACTAGGGATAGAGGCCTGGGGAACAGGCCTCCATCTCCCTCTTCTGGCTTAATCTCAAGACCTTTATACTTCAGTTCCACCCAGTTAGGCTTTAAAGAGTGCAGGGAAGGTGAAGAAAACACAGGAGCCTTCTCGGCTTATGGAGATGCCTGGAGATAACAGTGACAAGTATCAAAGTGGTAACCCCCAACTGGCCCAGTATCCAGGTTTTCTCAAATGATACCCAGTGTGTAAGTGTTGCTGCAGTGTCAGTACTTTCTAGTGTTTGGGCAAGTCACCAGAGGTCCATCTGTAGGAGGGGCTGAAGGTGAACCTTGGGGCAAGTACATTCTAGAAAGGGGGTTGGGTCAATTCTGAAATCTGCATGATGGAGTTACTAAGCTATCCTCTTTTTCCTCCCTATATGTTCATATCTGAGCCCTTTGTGGATGGGAGGCAATTACAAAGTGAAAGAACTGCTTTATGGGAACCCTGGTAGACCCTGGACTCCAGAAGCCCTGCTTTGTGTGGACACACTCACACCCTTCCACCTCCAGCCCCAACAAAGCACGACATAGAGTGGGAGAGGCATTTTCTTCTGTGTCGTCATGGACCACCAAGTGTCTGAGGCACCTTCAAGCACATCAAGGATAACAGTAGCAAGGCGGGGTGGGGCTGCAGCAGCAGTGGTACCTAGTGGGACTGGGAGTGTTGCCAGTGGGTTTGGAGGGAAAGGCCTAGAGGAGAACAGCAAGGTACCAGGGACACAGTGTGGCTGCCTAGAGAATTTATGAGTAGATAAGAAACTCACCCCCTCCCACTGGAACCTCTCTGAAATAACTATGGAGACACAGCAGGAGGCTAGTGCAGTAACAGATGGAAGCAGAAGTTAGTGAAACACACTCCATGCTAACCAGGGAGTGGTGGGACTGGTGTGCTCACACACTGCTGGTAAAAATCGGCACCATTCACTCGGAAAGCTGTCTAGCATTTGTATCAAGAGTCATAAATCTGTATTTATGTCCGGAGATACATTCTGAGGACACAATCCAAGAGGAGGAAAAAGCTTCTAGGCATGAAGAGGTAGTATCATAACTTAAGAAACTAGGAGCACCATAAATATCTAATGGGGAATGTTTCATGAAATCACACATGTTCACTTTAGTGGGACAGCCTGACATTATAAGAGAACAGATTTCAAGAGTTTCCAGCAACATGGAACAATGTACTGCCCCAACATTTGAGCTTCAAAAGCAGGAATCCACATTGTTTCCTCACCAGGACTAACCGTATAAAAATATGAACACACATGGACAAAGGCGAAAAGCAACGTGCAAATCCAGCACAGGTTGCCTCCTCGCAGTGCTGAGACCACCGTGGTTTGCCTCCCACAGGTCCCAACCTTTCCACTATTTTGATCTAGGATCTTAAAATTAAAAAAAAAAAAAAAAAAAAGCCAAAAATTTTTTAACTGCAAGTATCAAAATGCAAACCAGAAAATAACTAAACAAAGGTCACCAGGCAGAAAAGCAAACGGGGGCTCAGGAATTTGGGTTCTAATTCCGGTGGACTATCACCGGAGCCGGAAAAACGTGGCTGGCCCCGAGCTCCTGCAGGCCCTGTTTCGGCACACTTGCCCACAGGAATTGTCTGAACAGCTGAGGAGAGACACGAAGGGGAGGCCCCTGAGGGTGCCAGGAACAGCCCCCCTTGGGCCTGCCGTTCAAACCTTCCAGTGAGCGCCACCTCATCCCTGAGGCGGGGGCAGAGAGAGCTCTGGGACAGGCGTGTGTTCAGTGGGCAAGAGGCCAGGTTCCACACAGCAGCAGGCCCACTCCCTTCCCACACGCCATCCACACAGGCAGGGCAGCTGCACTCACCGCTCAAGGGGGACGTGCTGTTCTCCAAGGCCTGGCACGCAGCCAACACGATACCTGTTGGGTAGAGAAGAGGGAAAAGGTCAGAGTCTGCTTGGCAAGTGATGTCCTCGGAGGCTTAAAGGGCAGGCTCTGTGACAGGCAAAGACTTGGTAGTTTACAGAGTGGACTGTAGACAGGCTCGGTGACATCATTTGTGGGCATCAGTGCAGAATAAGCACATGGGACCCCTTGTTAAAAAGCAGGAAGAAAGTACCCATAGAAGCTCTGAAATGAAGAGCCTTCCACTTCTTCCAGCCTCTCTCTCCGTCTGTCAGGGTGGTTTTGGCTTTTGTTTTTTCTTAACACCTTATTTTTTTTTGTGGTGGGAAAATATACATAACATAAAATTTACCATTTTAACCATTTTAATTGTACATTTCAGTGACATTCACCCTGCTGTTCATGTCATCATGTTTGCTTGCTATTTACATCGTTGCTGTCCTGAGTGTGAGGATACCCGCAGGCTGAGTGCAGCCCCTCATAGGTGCCCCCCAGGGACAGAGTGTGCAAGGGAGCAAAGGACCCACTGCCTCTGGGCTTTCCTTCCAGCCAGCAGCTGGACCAATGTGCTGTGACCCAGCTGGGGGTTGCGGGGTCTAGTCAGGTATCTCTTCTTTCCAGGAACTGGCTGTCCCAACCCAAGATGGATGGGTGACCCCTTAAGGGTATTGCCTCCTCCCTGCCAGGACGTACTAGGTACTGGATCAGGGGAGTCAAGCAGCTCACCCCTCTCTAGTTGCCCACTGAAGATGCCATGGAGCTGCCACTTCAGGATGAGGACAGCTGCCACCATGCCCAACCCTGAAATGCCATGCACTTAACCCCAGCCCTTTTTGTGTCCAGGTCCAACCAGGGGCAGAGCACAGCAGGAGCAAGAAAACCTAGGGGAGGCGGGGAGATAGTAACAGGCAGGACCATGGGAACCAAGGCTCTAAGCCCCACCCCGTGCATACTCTATTGTCCTAATGAATGTCACCTACAAGACACAAATTCTAAGATAAAACTACACAAATTTCAAGATTGCAACTGCAGAGTATTAAACCTCAAGCTCAGGGCCCTTGTGAGCACGTGGTCCTGTGTGACCACACAGCTTGCATGCCCATAAAGCCAGCCCTGCCAACCAATGACCTTTCTGTGCCCTCAGATTACAGTACTCAAGGTTTCTGGAAACAGCAGCAACCTTCCAATGAAGAAGGAACCTCTTCTGAGTTATGCAATCAGCATGAGCCACACTAGAATGACTTCCCAAAACTGAAATGCAAAAAGATGCCACAGTTGCCATGCCGAGGGGCTGGGCCTCTGACAGGTTAGCCCAGAAGGCAGATGAATCAAGTCCGCACAGGAAACAAGCAAAGTTCTGTCTGTTACAGGATCCGTGCAGCCCCCTCCTCTGCAGGCTGTGAGGGCTCCTTGCCCCTTTTCACTTAGGGTGTACACACAGAAGTCCTGACTCTCAAAGGAAAAAACGCACTTGGAATAGATAGAGCAATCATGCTCCCAATGTTCCTTTCAACCTCTGAAATGAGAAACGTTAAGTACTTTAGACTGCTTTTACTGGAGGTCTGGCATGGACCTCCCAAAGACTTTTAGAGAGTCCTGAGCCAGATGTTTGGGCTGGAGTTGGAGGCAGGGCAGGGGGACAGGGAGAGTAAATCAGCAAAATCACACGTCTTCCCTGTGCAATTCCTTCTTGCTGGCCAATAGATGCTAATTTTGGAAGCAAGGCTTCCAGGGCTCCCCTGTCACCCACACACCAGTGTTAAAACAAGGCATCCCCATCCAAGCTGGGAAAAGTCAGTGGTTCTCGAAGCTGCCCTGACTTTGTTGGCACTGCCACAAACCATTCTGGGCTAAAGTCAGCCAGTGACCCATAATAGTGTACAAAGATGACACTGGGGATGCTTTGCATACTCTGAGGGGAAGCGTGGCTGGCCTGTCACAAACTGCGCCTGAACTAATGAATTATCTTCATGCCCTGTTCCTGCCCCATATCCTGTCAGTCAGGGCGAACCCAGTCAGCACGGTTCCTGGGTTACATGGTGGCCCCTGCTTAAGTGAAACTCAGACAAGAAAGCAAACACTGTACAGCTGAATCCAGGACAAGGCACTGATGAGCAGCACTGCTCCAGTAAGATGAGGGTGTGCAATGGGGGCCCACTCCCCAGCCTTGGTGCAAATTACTTCACCTTCTGTTCCTCACCTGTGGGCTTGCAGCTGCCAAACTCACAGAGGTGTTCTGGGAATGAATTAAAGTTTGCAAAACCATGGTATTCCATAGATGAAAGACACTGGGTTTTTTATTCATAATTTGAGCAGCACGAGAAGAATAGGTCTTTTCTATACCCTCACGTTCCCATGGAAAACAACTTTTTGATGCCCTGGGCTTCACTCTGCAATCTCGATCATGCCCAGCATCGGCTGAAGCCCTGTGATGTGTGGTGAGCCTCTGCTTTGTCTTCATTATGTGGTGAGCCTAAGAGAACCCTGGACAGGAGGACAGGGCTCAGGCCTCTCACTCTGCAGGTGGATGTGCACCCCTTATTGGGCATGAACAAGTCCCACTCTAAGGTCTTGTATGTGTTCTCTTACTTAGTCCTCATAACAATTCGTGACATAGGTGTCTCCCAGCCTTCTGGTTCAGCTGGTAGAAATGCCCAATCATACGGATGAAAAAACTAAGGCTTAGAGAGATTAAGAAATTTTCCCAAGCTTCTGCAGCCACATTCAAACTCCAGTGTGTCCAACTCCCATGCACAAGACAGTGTCTAATTACCAGACCACACCACAGTCCTTCTGACTGTAGCGGATTGTGACACAGGTGTGTATTCAGCAGTTACAAACCCCAAGTGAGTCCAAACAACAGACTCTGCAGGCCCAGCGGCTGAGCATTGATCCCTCTCTTTCTGGGGGCCATCCATCGCCTTTTGGGTATTCTCCCACTGTCTCCAATCTCCCTGCCATGAGCATGGTCTACTGAGGGGCAAAGGTATGAGCATCCAGGCTCACCAGCTGCCCACGCCTCTGGCCATACGACTATGCTTAGAAAGCCAGGCTGTGTTAGGACCTTCCAGAAACACATGGCCTTGCAGGCTCCTGGGGTCATCCGAAACAAAGGAAGGATGAGGGAAGCACAGCCACAGGGACTGTGGCCACATGCAGTGAGTCAGGGAGACACACAGTGTACAGGCCTAGTGGCCCATAGCCACAGGCTCCTCCTGAGTTTCAAAGCTGGCCCTTGCCTGCCGCAGGCCCTCAGGACAGGGAGGCTGGAATCCCCTCTGGGCCACTCCTGCTGGCATCCCGTTTCTGTTTAAATAGCTCCAAAGAGGGGAATCCCAAGACTGTGGACTTCAAAAAGAAAAAAGAAAAGAAGGGAGTGGTATCAAGGGGAAAACCACATGCAACAGAAGAAAACCCTTGTGAAAGGCTGATCCTGTGCCCCTCAAAATACAGTGGGAACCTGGCCTGCCCTGAAGGAAGGACAGGTGTTGCCATGCTTACAGTTCAGCTGTTTGGTACTCAGGTAAAAGTTCCCAACAGAAGCAAGATAAAAGGGAGGCTCACTGATTTAGCTCATGAATCCCCAGAAGTGGAGCCATCCTGAAACCTGTGTGCTTACTGCAATGGGATATGCTCTTGAGAAAGGCTGGACACCCCTCTCCCCTGGGCTCCAGAGCAAAACACCCCCACTCCAACCCCTCACTTGGGCACCTCACTCAGGCACAAGACTAGCAATTCTGCACAGATACGCAGGCTGTGCCTTCAGCATTGGACACCCTTCATCTTCAACCACCCATTGGCCTGGTGACTACCTCTCCTGTGGACACTCAGCTATAGTGGCTGGAGCTGGGAGGAGCATCCTCTGGCCCCTGGCCACCCCAGCAGAGTGGACCATGTCCTGTTCTGGCCTCCACTGGGGCTGGTATTTGCTTTCAGGCCCCTACCTACTCCACTGCGTGGATCTAGAATATCAAGCTCTACCTTTCACCTGCATGAATGGGTGAAGGGTGAGTTTCTGTTTTCAGGGGATGTGGGAGGATGAAGAGCTGCAGCAGATCCTTTGGATGAAGGCTGCTCTGGATTCAGAAGAGGTGGTGAGGAAAGGCCTTTGGCTGAAGAACACACTCAGGGCAGGAGGACAGGCGTTGTGCTAGAGGGCAGGGCAGAAGGGAATGTGGGCATTCAGAAGGCAGCAGGTGATCCTCTTCCTCCCCCCTACCATTCTTAGAGCTGGCGGGTCCTGACAAACAGGAAGTAGAGAGTGGTACATAGAAGGTGGGAATCCCGCTGCTCAGGGAGAGGTCTGCAGAGGCTTCCATGTGGGCACAAACATTTAAAGAAATGGGCCACACAGAACCCAGGGCCAGTCAGTATAAGTTCATGGCATCTTCCCTTATGAATTATATATCAACATCTACATTTTGTTTGCAAGCATGGCAGGATTTTAACTGCATAGCAAAATTTACCACATTGTATGATTATGATTTCTTCAATACTTTTAAATCTAAGAGGTTTGACAGCCAGGTGAGGATGCCGGCTTCAGGGCAAGAACTGATTAAGAAGAAAAAAGGGAAGGCCCTACAAGCAAGGCTGGTAGGATGTGTGTACCATGGCCTACCCTTGAGACTATCCACAAACTGATTAGGATATTAAGGCCAAAAGCAGCCATGTGGCATCCCCACTGGACAGCAGCAAGTTCCAACTTGATAAATCTCGGGAAATACTTCATGACTATGACATCACAGGAAATGATCCAGCATTACCTGAAAGCTCACAGGAATTTCCCATCTCCATCTAAACATATCTGACAATAGCAAAAAAACAAATATTCAGAATGAACCTTCAGGATCAGGGAGGCAAGAGAAATGGGCACACAGGTGCCTGCACCACAACCGCCTACCACTTTCTAGCCTGTTATGCCACAGCAGAAAGGGGCTTTGCCATCAGGCCTGGGTACAAATCCTGGCTCTGCCACTCCTTCACTGTGAGACCTTGGCTCTAGTATGTATACTTGC